TTAGCAGCTAAAGAGATTAGCAACATGTACATCTGGGGATTAGAGCGTTTGTGGTGGATCATCTTATAATGTGTTCATTCTCTTCCTTTTTTTAACCAGTGTGTTTCTAGCACCACTTGAATTTCGGATGCTGCCGCTCGTGTGCATCTGTGTCTATGTGTGTGTGCATTTGAGGATATATCTTCACCTGTCTCTCTCTATTAGATCACGGTTTAGTTGGATCATTAGTGAGACAGAGAAGGTTTCACATATATTCTATTTTCAATCTCCATGTGACAGAACTGAGACACCTGTCTATTGATAAGGAGAAAAGTGAGCCAATAGCCTATGGTTGGCACACGTTTCAAACATTCTGTCAAGGCCTCGTAAACGTGACTGACGTTATGGTAGGAAATTTACTGCTATAGGCAGCATCTCGAGCAACACTCAAATTCTCATTAATGCCTGATTGTCTTGTTTCTAAAGTCAACTTTAAATTTAGGTGGATTTTATCCTGATGTAGTTTTAGTAGCATAGCTTCCCTATTAGTTCTACGGTCTAATCACTCCTTTCCATGATCTTGGAGGACAGGACAGGAAACACACACACAAACAGCTCAGTGGAAGGATGTGACAGGCAGCCAAATACAATCAGAGGTGCTAAAGGTGTTTCCTTCCTTGAATTAGTCTGATCGCAAAATAGGGAATATCTCCAGTAGCAGAAAAAAGAAATAAACAAAAAGAAACGCACTTCCAGAATATGAAATACTTTAAGCTGTAAACATTTCATATCAGGTGTGTGAGTTACATGATAGTTTTACTCAAACTCGATTCCAAATCATTCAAATTTTAACATTATCTGAAGAGATATTTTTATTATTATACCAAGAACAAGACAAGAACTACCAAGTTTGTCGGCCGAACCTCAATAATTCCTTTATCAAACTTCTGATTTTGTTTGAATTTTTCAGAGAATGGCTAAAATATATGTGCATGATCACAATAGCAAAATAATAATAGTTAATATATTTAACTTCCAGCTAAGTGTAGATAAAATGTAATTTACAACAAAACTCAAAATACAGTGAACAGTGCTAAACTGAATCATATTAACACTGTGAGAAATTACACTACTTTTGTAGGTCTTACTGCCATTATTTCATGAGTGTATCTGATAAAATAAAGACGTGTTTCTATGAAGATTAAAATTTCACAATGGCATACTTTTAAATTCTTAACATTTTTATACTAGTGAAAGACTATTTTAATAGAAAGTGTGGCTACACTTTAAAAACACAGCTTAGTTTTAACATGTTAAGATATTCTGCAATTCACTGAGCATGTGCTAGTTTCAATTGTGGATCTTTGTAAGAGGTGATACAAACACAATTGAGACCAGAGGTGTGTTGTTCGTTTGGCCAGCTGTATGTTTCACTCAGCACCAGGAAAGGCAGGCCTTGGGCCGTCACAGCAGCAACACAGACAGGTAGCCATCCGTCAGAGCCAGTACAGAGACAGGTGAAAGCCATCTTTCCATAACCCGGCGCTGACTTCCCCAAGGACAAAATGACTTGACATAATGCGTCAAGCCCCCCCTCCTCGTTTGAAAGGAGGCCAAGAGCTGTGAAGCTGCAGCTGCCGGACCAAAGGCAAATCGAGCAGGAGGCCACACATGAAAGCAAGGAGAAGCCAAACAAACCAGGAAATGGAGAACTAGTAGCTATGCCAGTTCAAAAGGCATTCTGTCTCAACTGTCAGCAGCCGTCTGCTGCGACGGTGGCTCACAAGCAGGAGTGACAAACAAATAAGCGTAGATGACCGCAGCTACATTAATAGCCATGAGTCAAACTGGAACAAAATGGAAGTAAAGAAAAAGAAGAAGAGGTTAAAAGGAGGAAGCAAATGCAAGCCACAATGTGGAAAGGCCCAGGAAGGCGGGAATGAATCACCCTTTGGTATATTCAGTCTTTCCATTCCAGTTGCTTTGGAGGGGACAGCAGTTAGACAACACGTAGGGATACAGCAGAGATAAAAATGAAAATAATCTTAATATTTAATTAATGTGATTGGCGCTATTGAAATATCGAAGGGGTCTTGAATATGGAAGTGGTGCTGATTGTGGTAATGATCACATCTGATCTATAAACACAAATAGTTTCACCAAGTTTCACTTTTTCAACACCACAGCAGTTTCTGTCACTTCTTCCTCTCTGTCACTCCCTTTTTTTAATGTCACTTTACAGTCAGTAGGAACCACTCACTTACTTTAAATGTTAGCCTGAGCAGCACCATGGCACCCAGGTGTAACCCGACTGCCGAAGGAACAGGAACAGAAAATGTACACCATTAGCTTCTATGCCAGAAAGATTTGGATGCAGTAGTGAGAAAATTTCCACTCCTCTTAAAAGAACAAAATCAGACCAATGCAGTGAAATTACAGCAAACTTTTCACTAATTTTACCCAGCCCCCAAAAGAACAGCCGGGAGTCATGTTGCTAAGAACACAAAGCGCTGACATATTCACCCAATTATGTACTCTGCCGAGTATGACAATGTCTCAGGATGTTACCAATGTTCTACGCTGATGGAGAGTGTGTGTATGTACATGTTTTTGTCTGAGGTTTAAAAATGAAGCCAAGGCCTCGTTGCTCATAGACCGTTAGACACATCTCCAACAACTTCTGTTTATACAAAAATATTCTATAACCAAATACATTCTGACGCCATGTAAAGACATTTCTAAGAACATCTTGTTTATTAGTAAAAAAAAAAATACATAAACAGAATTCTTAATATTAATTCTGACATCTTTTCTACATCACAATGATATAGCTGAATCCAGAAAGAAGCTTCTCCAAGTAAAGTTTATATATTTATACTGCTGTGATACTTTCCATCTGATTTACTTTATTTGGTTAAAGCTGTTGTTCGTTTGTGACCTCTCTCAAGAACGACCTAGTGCTAAAAGTTCTTGATGATGACAAAATGTATCCAAGCAGCTGTCCACACATTCGTTAAGTCAAATAGGAGTGTAAGAAGATCGCATGGGCCAGACAATATTAAAACTTCAGTATATTTCTTATCTAAGTGAACGCTGTCCACAAATTGCTACCCTGTTGACTTCCTCTGGTAAAGGAAGTCTGTGCTATTATTATGAACCGCAGATATGAAGTTGAGAGCTTTAAGCTTGACACCTGTATGTTTAAGATTCTTATTTTGAAAAAGTAAAGGAAGAATCCTTGAGTTACCCTGCTGTGTTAATGGAAATGAGTAATAAAAATGTTCGTCAGACTGGTTGACAACACTCCATTATGAAACATAAGCTTGCCTCCAGGATGATTTATAAGATATATAAGCAGTGTGAGAATACAACCACTGACTAACTGTTAGCCACTAAGGGCTAGAGGGTTAACACAACTGGGGTGCTGCTTTGATTTTTTGTCATGCCTATTTAAGAAATCCTTGAATGTCCTATGGTCACCGCTTTCACTCACCCAAAAGCTCTGGAGCTGGAGTCCAAAGCTCAGCCTCTGCCCCACAGTGTACCAGCACCTTGCACCTCCACCACACAGCTCCTTCAGACTAGTGACCGCAGCAATTAGCAAACACCTGGTGGAACTGTGCAGCTGAATTTATCATGCAAACTACTTCTCAGTCCAATACTCCTAAGAGCGATTGTAAACAACATCATGGAGGAGCATTGTTGTGATGATGTCCTAAAAGGGAGCATCTGAAAGAGTGGGAGCTTCTTAAAGAGACAGAGGCCAATTTCAAGGCGTCAAATTATGAAGTAAAATGTCTTTTAAGTTGTTTGATATATGCAGCATTTTTATAACAACTGAAGGTAAAATCTAGAAAGTTTATGTTAAATAATTGTTTATGTATAAATATAATTACTTATATACACATACATAAATATAATTGTTCATATAAATATATATAATTGTTTTGTAACGCCTACTCAATTTAGATTATTCTGCACTTCTTTAAGATTATTAAAAATAGAACACGTTATTTTTAAAAACCTTTTTTAAGAAAAACATTTTAAGTGTTCTCCTTTAAATGGGACCTATTGTACTGATTTGTACTAGATGGCATAGGTCTACCTGCTATAAAATATGCTTATAACATTTTTTGCAGAAAATCATTCTCAGATAATGAGATTGCACTTGCTCGGTTCTGTGGAGCCTCCTAAACCATCAAGGATGCTGCAAGTGGTTTCTGAACAGTAAGTCATGTTCAATCTGCAGGTCTGCAATGAACAGTAGGGGTCGTTTTCTTCAGTCAAGGTCTGTTGAAAAATCTCGCCATGCACTATTGGTAGTTTTCAAAAGAGTTTGCTGATGTAATACATGCCTGCTTGCTTGGGGTTCAGCACCCCACCTCTTCACCCTGAACCATATCACCATCAGACATCAGAGTTGAGACAATCCACTGATGATTTCATCACACACCCACCCTTTACTCTTTTTTTTCCTTGCCACAGTATTCTAATCACCCTAATTAAAAGCTTTGTTCATTTAGAAATCTCTGATGACAATTTGTTTCACTCTACCCTACAGCAGTAGTAGCAGTGAGGAGAGGAGAATTAAATTTGATCTTATGACAGCAATTATTAAATGTTCCCTCCTGGCCTCAATTAGGGCCCGCAGGCTAATGCTAACATGGCTAACCCTCAAGCAACCACTTGCAGCCTTGTTCACCGTCTCTCCACCACCGTCTTTTAGTGTACATGAGGAAGGAGTCTTTCTGCTTTTTGGTTTTGGAAGTATGGAATATCTTGTGGGCTGTTATCTGATTTGCATGCTTGCTAAAAGAAGAAGGGCATATTTCCTGTTTTTGGGTTGACTAGTTAAATATCAGCTAGCGTAGACTAGCAGATCTATGAGGAAGTTGTGGAATTTACTAATCTTTCTTGGTGGGCTGCATCAGCAAGTTTGGTTTCTACCGTGAATCTATGATGTAAATTGATTATTTCTGAAGTTATGACCATCTTAATGTAGCAGTGAAATCAAGTGATACCTCTTTCTGCCACTGGGACACCATTACAGCTTTGCCTGGAGCCGATCGGTCGCAGCCTTGCCGAGTTGAAAAGAGTGCCGCCACTCGGCTTTCAGTCTATGCACAGTGTGTGGGTAATTTGCAGAGAAGTAGAAGGTTGCACACTTCAACAAGGATGTCCTTCATAGATTCGACCTTCTGATTTTCCTTTTTTTCCCCTCCTCTGGTCCCTGTGCTCCACTAGGAAACCAAGTAACCTAGATCGCAGAGTAGGCAGAGAGGGGATTGTGAGGCAGAGGAAGAGCAAAAGAACCAGTTGAGAGGGTTTGTTTTTTTCAACAGCAAATGATTGAGCTGATTATTGTGAACATTGTTTCCCTGTTGACGATGAGCATCATTAAAAAGAAATTGGTCCACTGAAATTGTTTGTTTAAGAAATGCTGGTTTAATGCTTCCAGGCAATGTCCCCTCACCACAGACACACACGCACGCACGCACACACACCAACCAGCGTAAACTCAAGATGTAAGGTGGGAGCATTATGTCTACAAATTATGTTATTCTCATGGGTTATTTCAGATCAATTTGGCCACAAACCAAAAATAAAGCAATAAAATAATTGTGTTAAAAATCTTTGCTATAGATAATGTCAAACTGAGTCTGCTAAAAGAAAGCATGGTGCTTTTAGAGTGTTACAGTTCCCTGAGGAGAGTCAGTGGCGAACTGCATGAGGCGAAAGGTTGTGCATGCCGTGCGGAGGGCGTGTGGCGGCATACGGTACCTACAGATCAGCCTCTGTTTAGGGGAGTGGCCCCCACTAAGGCTCGAGCCAGGCCAGACCAAGTCCAAGCCTATCATTACTCATCGGCTGGGTGCCGCGCTCCTTTTTGGAGTGGTTATGGAGGGAGGGCACGGGGGGTGGGGGCGACTGGTGAACTGGTGAGGGTCTGGCAGCTCCACTGTACTCCACTCCCAGCGCCATCACAACCCGACCTCATCAAAGTGAGCGCTCGTAATTTGTCACAGAAAGCAGCCAATTAACATATGTTAGGGGAGGGAGGGAGGACAAGAAGAAGGGAGGAGAAGGAGGAGAGGGTGAGTGAAAAAAGATAGCGTGTGATTAAAGAGTCTGCACAGCTGCACAACATCAAGATGGCAAAGAGGTTTAAAAGAGACCTCAGACCCAGTAATCTGATAAAGCGCGCTGTTACTCACCCCCCTCACCTCCCACCCTTTAGGAAAGAGAGAGTTGGGGAAGGAGAAAGGGGAAGATTGAAATAATAGAGACAAACAAATATTAAATTACTGCTTTGAATCTACAAGCTCTGGCAGAGTGCCTTTACTCTAAAGATGTGGCTACAATGAAGGCTGCTGTATCAACCCCCCCTCATGCCAAAGCTACTACTGTTTGACCACACTCTATTTTTAGCCCAACACTTACCATTTCTACAGGAATACGCCAACAACCTCTACTTTTTTTTTTTTGCTCTAAACTATAGTTTCATCTCAAAATGTAAACGTGTGGTTGCACCCCTGCATTTAAACTCCTTTCTCATGAAACAAAAGGTTTTTTTCCCCTTTTTTTGTGTTTTTGCATTTATTTTTCTGTCACAACGTCGTAGACAAGTTCCTTACATTGTGACTTGTTTGTTTGCTTTCAAATCGTGTTTCTCATGGTTGGTTTTTAAAACGCGCGCATGTGTGTGTGTGTGTGCGTGCCTCTACGAGCGCGCAATCTTTTACGTGTCTGTTGCTGTTGTTGTTGTTGTAGGAACATCTTGTGAAGTGAGTCGTGTGATATTTTGCCTTGTTGTTGGATACGGTGGCAGGCTGAATGCATTAGCATCGCGCACCGATGCCATTCTGTGTTCTGTCGTCTCTCAGCCACCTCTGCCTTGTCTCTCTCTCTTTCTATCTCTCTCTCTCTCTCCCCCCTGTCTCTACAGCGACTGATCACATGGACTGACAAGCGAGTTTTGGGTTTTTCGTATGCCCCACCATCCTTCGCTATGTGGTGGATCTGGCTTCTTGGGCGAAGAAATCGTTCACTGGCAGGGAGGGATCTTTCAACAAATTTGAGAGATTTCAAAATCTCACTCAAACACTAGCGTTGCGGGGAAATCCCCTATGCTAAAAGACGACAAAATCTAAATTATAATCATGATTATTACAGAGGAAAAGCTCCTTTGGCTGATGAGCGCTGTATATAAATCATAACTGTTTCTTTTTTCCTCCTCTTTCTTTCTCTGGCACTCTTATCCTTGCCATCGAGCATCCATCATCATTTATTTATTTTTCCTATTTGGGATAGGAAGGCCCAAAGTGGGGGAGCAAAGGAGGGATGGAATATCAGTGCACGGAGGGGGCAGCGGCAAGTTGCTGCAATGTTGAATTTTTCTTTTCTCATCTGCTTCACAATCTAGTGGTTCAGTGAAGGACCTGGGTGCCTCGATTCCACCCCCCCAGCTCCCGCCCTCGCCTCAACTCTCCACTCAAATCCCTCTGCTGCGAGCACAGCTGCACTGTTCACATAACCTCGCCTGCAACCCCCCTCCACCACCGCCACCCGACACCCCCCTATCAATGATAGCAGAGCACGTCCCATACACTAAGCAACACAGTTTTTCCCAGTTCATGTACGTACGCAAGAGCAACAGACAGAAGCAGAGGCTGGTGGGCACACAACATATCCCCCTTTCCTCCTTTTGGTTCTTTTCCCTCATTCAATTCCTTCCCCTTCTCCTCACCCTAAGAAAAATTCCCCGGCCTTTTGACCCCCAGAAGGCCTGAGAACATCCATGAGCGCTCGCACACAGGAATACTTATACACACACCCCCTTAACTCAGTCCTCCAAATACAAACTGCCCATTTTTCTCCTTACCAAGTGACCTGCATCACAGCTGTGTGTGGGAATTTGTAAGGGTTGGTGTATTAGTGGAAGTCTGGGGTGTTGCTGAATATAAACCGAGTCCAAACTGAAATGTTTGTTTTGCTCCAAACATAAAAATATAGTTTACGCATGGAAATCAATAGAAGAAAACAACCACCATTTTTCTGTTTTCTGTTTTTTGTTTAAGTTTTACTTAGAAACAGCCTAAGTAAAAGAAAATGGATTTTTGATCTAAATTGCAGATCATATATATATATATATCTTTTTTTTTTCCAAAACTGGATTACAAACAAAAATGGATTTTCTCTACCCTAAGTCTGAACCCAGTCTGGGCATGAATCTGCATGCAATATTTATGGCACATTTCAAAACTATACATGGGGCTACTGTGCATATGTCCATATCTCTTTTGCTGTCATTTTACTTTGAAAGAGTCTGACTTTCTTGTAATCATTTAAAGTAGAACTTTGAACACGTTGCTGAATTTTTATTTCTTTTGTTGGAAGTTGATTTTACCGGGGCTCAAAAGAATGATCATGTGTGAATTATTATTTAAAGTTGGTCCATGTCTGTACGCATCACAATTCACACCAGGTACATTTCTGGTTTACACAATGCATGTGTGCCCCATGCGTGTACATGCCAATACGTGTGTGTTTGCACGCTTGAGTGTGTATGTGTGAAACGGAGAGTAGGGAGGTGAGCGGCACTGGGCTTCTGTTGCACCTACTGAGCATTATCCCAAATAAACAACTCATTACACGTGTACTTAACCGAGGGGGAACCGGCGAGCTGTGCAAGCTAATCCCCATTATCGTTCCCAGCGTTTCTCTTCCGATTAGGCTACAGGGAAGAGGAGACCCACAAGGCAGGTCGCTCAGTTTAAGAGGAAGCAAGAAGGAGATAGAAGAAAGAAAAGCACCTGAGTTAACTTCCCAAGAGTACCTCCTTCCCCTACCTCTCTTCCTTCTCCCTGTGCTATTTGCTTTTTTGCTCTTACTTGTTTTCGACCACCTCTTCAGAACTGGGTCATCGACAGTTTGTGGAGCAGCATTTTGAAGAACATGGGAAAGGGATGAAAAAAAAACAAAAAACATGTTCTTGCTATGAGAATAATCTAAGGTTTCTTTAACAAGTAGCCTGGTTATCATATTAAGCTGTCAAAAAACACATTAAAAGGAGGAGGCACAATTCCCTGCACAGAGAAAATGGGGGCTGTGGGGTAGCACTCTTCATTTCCAGTGTAAAGAGACAGTCCACCAAGGGCAGCATAGTGCTTTGCAAAGACTCGCTCTCTCTTTCTGGCCCACTCATAACATGATTATGAAGCCCCTATTATGAGGGCCAAGATGCAGAGTGTCAGTCATTTAGTTGGAGAATAATATCTTGGGCTAGGATGCAGAAAAGATGACACTCGTTTCTTTTTTTTGTTAAAAAAAAAGAGCTGCAGAGGGTGATAATGTGGCTTCAACAATTAGATGGCATGGTCGAGAAGTGGTGCTCTTTGAAGAATAACGGGATTAACCAAGAAGACTGCCATTTGCCCGCATAATAAAGACAGAAAAGTCAGTTTGACTGAGAATAATCCCTTTAAAAAATAAATGTTAGATAGTAAAGTATAGAGGGTACGGTGTTTTATGGCCGTTCTACTCCAATAGCATAAAATGGCTTTTTGTTGTTTCCTTGTACCCCCATTTAGCTGATTGTATGAAACTTTAATATCTTAAAATCAGGTAAGACACTGTTGAGGAAAATTAACCGTCTGGTATTTCACAGAAGACTGTTTAGTTTAATGTTTTCTCAGCTGAAAAACATCCTTCTTACTATGCTAAAGCTGTTATAGGAGTTTACTGGCTGTATCAATCCAGCCTTACCATGCCAGTTCCACACCAGTATGAGACCTGGAAAACCACAGTCTCTTCTGGAAGTACGGTTAATAGCTGTGAATATAACATATAGCAACTTTAGTTGTTTTGAGTTGAAAAAACAAAAAACCTGATTAAAATGAGGTTCCATCTGGCTAGTTGTAAGCATGCTACTGGGCTGAGCTTTTTTTTTTTCTTTGTTCTTCAAGTTTACAGCAACATGGGCTTTTTCTAATTTACAAAACCTACCTTCAATTTTCTAAACTTTTTAGTTTAGAAGTTTTTAGTTTCTATGTTATATCAGAGTTAACTAAGGCTTTTCAGGCCTAACTTCAAGTCCTTCAATGTTTTTCGGTACTTTCTCACACTCCCAATCGGCATGCCATCCTGTTTGCTTGGCCCCTGAGAGGAGATGGGGTGGGGTGAGGTTGGAGGGGACTGCTCAAAGTGGGCCGGCAGTGGATGGATGTGACGTGGGGGAACTGGGTCTCGACTGGAAGGGGAGGCTGGAGCCACGACAGGTATCCCCCCGCACTTCCTCGGCTATTTATAAAACCGTGAGTCCAGCGCCTGGCCAAAAATAAAGACAGAGGCCATTTTTATCAGCAACGATGACAGAGGGGACAAATAAAGACTCCCTTTATGCTTTCCGAACACAAACACACAGGAAGCTGAAAAATACCCATGCATGTAAACAGCTGAAAGCGAAAAAGTCCTCACAAGACAATGAAACCATCTACGTTGTCCTATTCAGCAAACGTGCACACGCAAACACACACACACACACACACACACACACACACACACACACACACACAAACATAGGGGAGAAAAGTCAATACCAAGGCTGAACTATTTTAGTAGCAGGACTGTTTAGGAAGTGTGGGCCAGGTGCCAGTATTCTCCTCAGGATCGTCTGGCCTGTCACTGCAAATGGCGCTCTTACACGAATTCATCTCTTTCCTTCTCCCTCACCCTGTCCTCACCCTTTTTCAGTCAATCCCCTGCTCCATTGTCACTACTCTGTGCATATCTCTCTCCGCCAAATAAACAAGGCTGTTTGTTTTTCCACCAGGTCCAACCGCAGTGCCAGGTGAAAGCATCTGCTGGCAGGATAAAGAAAGTGGCTGTTGTGAGACCACAAGCGCCCCCCACCACCTACCGACCCACCCTGCTCTGGCCCGGCAAACCTTGAAGCAAAGCACTCGGACTGGAGTTTCAAACAAAGTGCCCCCCTCATTTATTATACATGCAACTGCACTGAAAATCTCCTTCTCCAACGCCATCTCCTCTCCTCTCTCTTTCAGTTTCTCTCTCTCCATCTTCTTCACTCTCTTCTCGCCTCGTCCCTCTTCGTTTTCTATCTTTTTTCTTTCTTTTTTTTTCTTTTTTTTCCCAGACAGAGCATCTATAAAGTATGAATAAAATTAATGACATCACGAGCTGCACTTTGGAAGAGCCACTGTAAGGAAAAAGCCATACATCAAGGGGCAGAGGGAGTCAGGCAAAAAAAAAAAAAAGAAGAAAAAAGAAAGTTTTTAGAAAAAGGAAGAAGAAAAAAGAAACAGGAGTGGGCGGTAGGCGTCGCTTAGCTCTTCCCCACCCTCAGGGTACTTCCATATCGCTGTATGCTGTTGTGCTTATAAAGTTTGAATTCTGATATGCTTTTGTTCATCTTTTAATTCTCTTTTTTTATATATATATTTCATCTTGCTCACTTCCTTTCCTACATTTCTTTGCCTTTTTTCCCTGCTAGCTCAGTGATGTATGTAGTCTCGACGGGTCTATGCTGCACATCATTACATAGGCTGGCCTTTTGGTTGGGAATGTCACAGATGACAGTGGAAAGGAACAGTTCTGTGGACTTTGGCCGTACACCGTCTGGTTAAGCTGTGTGCTCTGAAAAAAAGTGGGAACTCTGTGTGTGAGCTGTTGAATATTGTTTTTTCTTTCTCCCAATGAGCCTCCCCCCCCTACTCCCCCTGCCACCAGGGATAGTGTTAAGAGATTTATAAGAGAGTTCCCTTGGATCAGAATCGTAAATTTCCTGATATGATTTCCCAAGTATCTAAAAGAGAAAGGAACGTGATTAATATTCTGTCCTGGCGCACGGAGAAACATAAGTGCAAACCTGTGCCGATGGCCGAAATTTTGGTGGTGCATTGTTTGATGACAAGAGGGCAGATTCACACCAAAGAATGACTTAGTAAATTTCCTGTGAATTCAGTGTGCACACAAGAGCTGCTAAAAATACTCTGTATTGCAACTCAAAGCTCTCAAGCAGCATGGGGAGAAGTGGTGGCAGAAGCAGCAGCAGCAGTAGCAGCGCCGCGGATTGTGGCAGCCGACCGAGCGTGGGCTTCAGATGGATGTGAGCGTATGTGAGGCCACGACACAGAGCTACCTCTGTGTGTCTCGCCGGACTCTCGCAGAATGACTCGGCTATGTTGCAGTTGTGACAAAGATAAATTACAGTCGTTGGAAGACGTCTCTGTTTTTTTTTTTTTTTTTTTCCACCCTCCTTACTTTCTCTCTCTCTCTGTCTTTCCAGCTCTTTTAATTTTGTTGGTACTGGCTCCATTCCAAATGTGTCCCACACCAAAAGAGGTAAAAATATCTTAGGTGTACAAGTTTGGCCCTTTAATACTTAAAGGTCAGGTACAGTTCTTTGAAATACGATATACTTTCTTTCTCTTCACCCCCACATTAATTAACCCCCTGGAAATTCTCTCAACTTATTCTCAAAAAAAATCTGTGTGGTCAAAGAAATAACACTTAGTTGCACTGATTAAGTCTTTAGTTCTACTTACTCAATTAGCAGCAATTAGATGGATTAGGATTGAAATCAGCCAATTTCCCCCTGATCGGCCCGAGGCATGAACCTGATTATTAGTATTGTGGTATACTGAAGATTTGAAAGAAACTGGTTTCAAATCACAAACTTTTCCATTACACAAATTCTGCCTGGTGAAGTCCACTCAATCAGACCCAAAAGACCTTTTTTTCTTCAATGACTAACACGGCTCTGCTCCTCCATAACCTGCTACTTTGCACCGTTGGTTAGCTGGCTGAAAGACGACTTCTATGCTTTTCCTTTGCTTTCAAATTTTTGGGGGGCATTAAATATTTAATATATGGTATGGAAACTAGTGCCACCCATCACTGTTACGAAGATATAATTTTAGCAAAAGTTTATCTTCTTTCTTTAAAATATTCTATCTATTATGCTTCTTTTAAATCTATTAATTAACTAGGGTATTATTAGACGAGTTTAGCTTGCCATAAGAATTTCATATCGGACCATAACTAAACGGCTGCAAACAAGAGACCTGAAGGGCAGGTAAAGAGAAATTGTTTTTTTTTTTTTCTACCATATGAACCAACCGCATGTACTTTTATGCATTTTTGCTTAGGAAAAACGAGATAAAGATTAGCTATTTATTCGTGATCGGTTGAACTCAAAACTACTATAGCAACAGAAAAAAAAAAAATAACAAACAAACATCCTGCTGCACATTTTATTTTCTTTAATCCTTTGTGATCCTTAAAAAACTGGAATTAAAACCAATAAATCGATTGCGGACAAAAAAATGTCTTATCGGTGAAATCGGTAAAATTGTTCCCAACAGAAAACTGCAGGATTTTCATGCTCAAGAACCATACGAACTAATGTATAAACAGTTTTGTTCTTATTTACATTTGACTTTATCATTTCAGTATTGATATCGAGGCTTTCAGTAAGATGTGTTTAAACAAAGAAACCCTACATCTCCTCTACTCTAAATATTTCTCTATAACTTATCATTCACCCCCCCTATTTTTGATTTTTTTTTTTTTTTTTTACCTCCCAAGATTCTCACTGTCCAAATATTTCAGGGAGCTGGCCTCAAGTATGGTGAGGTGTCTCGAGCGTCTCGTTAGGTGGGCTGCAGCTGACGATATGATTGTGTGGTCAGCACTGCCGAGCGCAGACCACCCAGCAGGCAGCTGCTTTAATAATGACCAACAGTGCAGGCAGGAAACAGGAAACAGGATGAAGAAGGCAGGACATCCTGTTCATCTAGATCGGGGTGCTAAGGATGACATCACGAAGGCATCGCTCTTTCACGACGTGCACCTGAGCGGAGGCCGAAGGTTTTGTTGCTCAACTCCTAACTAACCTCAAACGCGTCTGTTTGTGTCTGTTTTCATCAGCATCAGTCTTCTCAGTCTGCCTTATCAGCCCCTCGCATTGACACTGTTTTCCAGACTGCTCCATCATCCCAGACATCAAATCATTTTCTCTTCAGCGTGAGAAGAAAGGGGAGAAAGAAAAAACAACAACACGCTTTTTGATTTGAATATACACCAACAACAACCTCGCAAAACTAAGACAAAAAAAAAAAAAAGGCACAAACATTCTGATGCATAAACACGCGGAGACAAGACGCAAAGTCGAACACGCGCTTGCGCAGACACCCATACACACATACAGACAGACAAACACACAAAACACAGAACAGCAAACACAAAGCACAGCACAGCCAGAAGTCTACTTTATGCAGAAATATTCTAAAGTGTGTTTTACAATACAATTAAACATCAAAGGCTGATATATTCCTCTGTGATCTTTAACACCCCAGCGAACACACCCATACACCCCCACCACCCCCACCCCATCCATCCACTCACAACATACAGAGAAAGTTGCTGAACGTCACTGCTAATTACTAGATAGAGACAGAAGAATGCTTTGGATTATTATGCAAAAACCAGGACATATTCAAATGTATGCATTCAACACATCCAAGAAGTGAATTGTTTATTTAGATTACTGACACTTCTTTAAGTTCTTTTTTGTGTGGCGTGATTTTAGGCTCCTATGAAGAAACAACGATGAGGTTTGTGTGAGGCAAGGATCCATGTGGGGAGAGATTCTGAACATTCGCAACATTTGAGACAAGGAGAGGAGAGTGTGTTGAAAATTAACAAATAAACACATGCTGAAGTTCAGCCGGACACTTTTCCGCGCGATTATAAAACAATACAAAAACAAATGGAAACTGCAGAAGAAGAAGAACCGTGTCTTGAGCATATGAAGAGAAAAAAAAATCACACATATGGTTGTAAGAACTTTCACTTGCCGACAAACAAAAATTAAAGACTTCCATTAAAAATTTAATTCAAGATATATATATATATATATATATATATATATATATATATATATATATATATATATATATATATATATATATATATATATAAAGAGACAATTCTCAGTTGTTTCAGGTATTTTTCTCATGATCTAGAGTAAATATAATTCTCCACAATTGACTCTCATATTACCTTTTCATTTGAGCCAAAGGGCACGAAGTCCAATTACAGTTTCTCAATATCTCCCTCTAGATCTTGCCAGCCGGCAATCTGCAAATGAATGTTTAACTGTGCAAACTGTGCAAACTCCTTCCAAAATATTTGAAACCATTAGGGAAAAAAAAAAAAAAAAAAAAAAACTTTGAAGCACACCAAAAAGGGCGCTATTAAACTATTTGCTTTAACATAAATACATTTGATGTTTTCATTAAGAATGTTTTCACAGATCTGGTTTTCCATGATGAGGGAATCTTGAACTGAGCCTTTTGTGCTATATTAAATGTCTCTGCTCAGAGCAGCATGCGTAGTGGGACTTCTAAAAATGGCTAACATGTTATAGTATTTACAAGATAACTTTCTCGTTATATTTCACTTCTCATAGACAGCAAATAAACTAATGAAGATCTGTCCGGTCACTGCAGACTTTGCCAAAGTTTTTTTTTTTTTTTAAACACATGGCAAAACCTTTCAAAAGCTGGAAATACAAAGTGTCCCTTCCCCTCACTTAACTAAAGCTCCGCTGAGCCCCTGGTGTACAGCAAAGTGCCCTAACAATCGGCTCAATGCCCCAGCCAATCAGAGGGACACGTGACCTTCTAATCCCTCTCTGTGAGAAGGGTAAGAGTGTATTGTCACTGTTGGTTTTGTGAATCGGCGTTCAAAATCCCAAATGATTTGTCAGGAGGTGGAAGGACTTAAGCTAAACAGGAGAAGCAACTACAGCGCGGGCCAGATAGTGTGGGTGTCGATGTGTCCTCTGATGCAGAAAAGGGCGAGTGTGTGTGTGTGTGTGTCTGTGTGTGTGTGTCTCTGTGTGTGTCTGTGTGTGTAAGGGAAGGACAGACAGAGAACCTGGTTTCATCTTTGCACTCGCGCGTGCTTGTTCGCAGCAGACGTCTGTGTGTGTGTGTGTGTGTGTGTGTGTGTGTAAAGGGTCTCTGAGATTACAGAGCTTGGATGACAGGAGTCCTCTGTGTGTAATCGTAGGTCCACATGCGAGTGCTCACCTTCCTCTGAGCGGATTAACCTAACGCTTAATCCCAAGAGAGCAACAGGCCAGAGAGGCCACACAGAACAGCTTCATTGACAATGGTCAGGGGAGGGAAGGCCACGTGTAAGATCTTTGTGACTAAAGAGTGTATATTTTTGATAAGATTACAATTCACTAAAAAAGATGGCAAACTTTGGTGGGTCAAAATAAAAAAATGAGCAATTTAAGCTGACCTTTTAAAATAGCATGTCTCTTAAATGCAGGATACTTTAAACAGAGAGTAAGTGCCTCTTCTGTTTTTGAATTCACGGCAAGAAACAACTGTGCACTGACTGAAGGTATGTAGTGCGCATTAGAAGGAACCAATAAGCCGCTCCGACATGCTGCAAAATTTGTCAACTTAGAATATTTCCTTTCAGGGGTGAGGTTTTATATTTCTTTAAGTTTGTAAGTCAGGGTACAAACAAATTCAAAACTTCTGTAAAATTATTATTTTTTTGAAGAACAGTTTTCCTTTACTTTAAGTATTTATTAAATTATATTGAGTATAAAATTGCAGGTAAAATTCCCACCGTATTTTCACACAACGTTAAAATATAAGAAAATGTACTTAGATATCAACTTTTTCTCACAGTCTTAGATTTAGACTTAGCATGACATATTTCTGCATGGAGCCCGTACACTTCTAAAATGAAACAAACAGTGCAGGGGGTTTAATTCCACTCTGAGGTGTCAACCTGTGAAAGTTGCCACAAGTTAATTATATTGTCCTTATTAATCCTCTCACTGCAACAGGTTCAGTTGTGCCACAGGAGACTCAACTGTGTTCACCTTGTAAATATATCACACTCCTTGTAGTGGTTACAGTAAGTCAGTCTCAATCACAAAGTCACAGAAAAGGAATTGTTAGCTCAGCCTGAACATCAGTAACACCCTCCGAAAGGACTGATTTACAAAACTGTTCTCTGTAGCTCTGCATAAATTAACACCCAAGTAAGTCTATCAAACTGTGTCCTGCTGCAATACGAAAATCCTTTTGTTGTATTGAAATTATTTAAGGACAGTTTCTAGCTCCATCATATTTGCACTTTTATCCATGAATTGTGGCGTGGCATGCTTACACGTGTATAAAAAGATAGACATATGCACAATACGCTGAAAATTTCAAGCCTACTTGGCAATTTGTCCACTTGGTCTAAAAGTTTATTTAATATTTTGTGACTTTCATATATATATATATATATATATATATATATATATATATATATATATATATATATATATATATATATATATATATATATATATACTCCATCTATGACTATAGAATCTGTTATTTATATTATATAGTTGTATATAATATTTTTAGGAACGCGCTTCATTTCACTTTATGTGGTTTTGTGCATGTGGACTCTACAAAGCTGCACAAGGTCACCACAACAGTAACATTAACAATGACATGAAACTCATTTGGCCTCTTTCTAATAGAACATAACCAGCTATTTGATGTCACCTTGTAACGGTAGTACAGAGTTGACACCGGCGGAGGTCACAACCAATCGATACGCGCAGTTAATGCACTTTGTTGACGAGCTGCGCGCGTCAAAATAGAGCCGCTAACTTTCCCCTTAGAAATAAAGATATCTAGATGTAAATGACGCTGCACTTCTTGGGTGCCAAGTGTTAACGCGGCGGGTACTTACTTTTGTTTGGTATGAAATCTTCTTCGGGGTGAGGAGAAAGAAACAACAAGCGGGTCCGCCGGTTGTTTGGCCCGGCTGTTTGACAGGAAGAGTGAAGCCGCTGCCTGATGGGGGGGGACGGAGTTCGCTGAGACGCACTTAAAATCCAGGAGCGCAACTTAGCAGAAGACGGCGCCGGGAAAGAAAAAAAAGTAACGTACAGTACGTGGTAGGAGTCTGTATAATATCAAACCAAACTACTCTCTCTCTCTTTTTCTCTCTCTCTCTCTCTCTCTCTCTCTCTCTCTCTCTCTCTCTCTCTCTCTCTCTCTCACTCTTACTCTGTGCTCTGTGTGTGCGTCTCCCCCCACCCTCTCTGTGATCGGACAGTATCTTCTCTGGAGGCGGTGAGGACGCTTCGGCTGTTCCCTCCAAGAGGTGCCGGTGAGAGGAGCAGGACTCGGTGTTAGAGGTGGAGGGAGGTGCCGGTGAAGTGCGGGATGTCTGGGAGCCTGACACTGGTGCTGAGAGCGCTGTTTCTGTCTTTCCCTCAAATCCAGACCGAATGTTTGCCTGAAACCTTTCTACTCTCCAACCCTGTGCGAGAAGCAATAATCATTTTCCCCCCCTTCTCTTTTTTTTTTTTTTTGACTCCTGAAAGGGGGCGGTCTCACATTTCCCCACTCTACTTTAATGAACGAGGCATGGTTTCTTAATACTTTATTATCACGGAAGTCCCGATAGAGTGGACACACAATTAACTGCTCCGAGAGGACCACTAGAGGAAGATGATGGGCTGATGTCTAGTTTAACTAATGAACCAACAGAGAGAGCGTCTGCAGTCTATTTTTAAAAAGCCGCCGAAGTTGTAGTGCTCATTGTGGGAAACTTAGTTTTTTACTCTTTTCATTGGAAATCAACCATAATTTGTTAAATAGCGAAAAAAAAAAAAAAAAAAAAAGGTTTCTGGACTTGTACATGCCTTTTAAATTAAAAGAATACTATAAAAGTATGTTTTTAATTATATTAGCCGTTATTTAAAATCAAACAATTGTTTACATTACTGCATTACTTTGTAAATCCAGTAATACTCATTAATTATATCAATAGATCCATCTGAAGTAAGTTTATAGTTTTTATGATACATCCTTCCTATGTTTTATTTGTACGCAGACGTCAGTTTAGTCAAATTCTCATTTATTATGCACTGTAAAAATAAGTTTCGGAGGGTATTAAACCTTACCCACGAAAATCACCAGAAACTTTAATCAAGTGTGTTTTTTTTTGTGTTTTTTTATATATAAATGCAATGTTCAATAATGGTTTAGATAGGATCTGTGCTGAAATAAGAATTTCATTGGGTATCTAGCTAGTTTAGTGATGGCGCTAATTCTGAAGTCAAAATTGGAAATAGTTGTTGCCTATCTTATCCATTGGTTTTCCGATAAAACATGCACATCTCTTCTCTTAAGAATAGGTTTTAGAAGCTTATAGCAATTCAGTAATGCCATCTGATTTTACTAGTTAGGCAACAGTTATAATGCCTGAACAAACAAGATGAATATATTAATCTCAATAAATGTTAGAATTTTTGAGCATGTACATTTCAAAAATTGAAATTTGACAACTTTATCGGCAAACTTAGATAACTTGAACCCTAAAATGCTGATGAAAATCTACCCAAAGACAATATTTGCCAACAGCTGGTTTTGATAGTGCAGGGGGAAAAAAAACAAAAACATTTCTTTCTGGGACTTCATAAGAAAAGTAAAGTTATGAACTAAATGATTTACTGTTTAACACAGAAAAGTCAAATCCTTTGGTATGTCTTAAGGGAAATGATTCTCTTTGGATATAGAAAGACCGTCTACATTCTCAGATTTTCTTTCCATCTATCCAAGTCCTAGCTATTTCATGCAGATAAGCCCTCACAGACAGTGAGTAAGCATCGTGGAGAATACCAGCTCTTGAACCACCCAGCCAAATGATTACCAAACATCCACTCTATTAGTGTCAATTAGAGCAGTAAGTTCGCCACTGGAGATAAGACAGACAGTGCAGTGGCTTTGTGCAGAAATATGTACAATAGAATTTGTTAAATACCTAGATTTATTATAATAATAGTTTCATTATTCTCATTCAGTGGCGGTTGTATATGTGAGGAAACAATAATACATTTTGACCATATTTTTGGGTGAGAATGTCAATTTTTGTTTGTTGCCACGTAGAGGCTTTACACATCCAAACTGCATTAAGAAAATAAAATAAATAACATACATCATGACACAATACAGTTAAAGTTTCTGGTGATGTTTGACAAAAACATGCATTGTGCTGTGTTTCTCATGTGTCTTGATTTTAGGTTGTCATAATGCCAAAAACAAACACTGTATAGAATTATTCAGTGTCGCGTTGTCCAGTCTAGGTATAGATGTTGAACTAGAGCTGATCCAAGGCTGAGTTTAGCCTTCATCATTGATTGTCTACTGCAGTGTTCAGCAATAATATATTACAAGGCGTATTCTTTGCCCACCTCCTGACAACTGGAGATGACCATAAACAGACTACAAGTTTATATGGTGACCCCCACACACATGTTTATAATATGAATATCCACTATATTTATGGTTGCTGGTTGGTTCAGTGTGTAATGCCGCCTGTAAAATATATCTGTGACACCCTGGTTTTGCTTGAGTTTAGTATTGTATTTTGCTGTATCAATTCACACTCTGAAATCTACACCAAACAGGTAAGTCCTTCCCCATGAGCCTAATGCACAAAATGTGAGTCCCTCTTTGCCTTTCTGTGGACTGTAGGCTGCAATCTTGCCACCTAGTTAGTCAAGTTAGGAAATGTGGGGAGCAAGGGTTAATAAATAAATCAAGCCGGCTAATCTGTTTGACGGATGGACATTACAGCAAGTAACTGAACCCTCTGGTGTCTGATAACTCTGTGTGCCACCTTCACATCACATGACCCTTTAATCTTTAATAGCATTTCCTCTGGACCCTGGTCCTCTATGATAATCAATAAGGAGTAGTCTGTTAGACACCCTGAGTTCATAATGTGAACATGTCAGATATCAATAGCAAGGGAAACAATGAGTACACAGTTTTCACAACCTCCGCAGACACTTTTTCTCCCCCTTCAGACCTCTGTTTCGACTAGACACGATAAGGGATACATCAACGTGCATAGGTGTTTTTTTTTTTTTTTTTTTGTTTTTCCCACATTCAGCGTTCCTTCGTCTTCTGTCTTGCGTCCCCCTTGCTCTCTACGCTGTCTGCCAGCAGCTCATTGGAGGGGTCCTTTCTGCACCGCAATGCTTGAGGTTGTCATTTAACGGCACCTGGAGAGAGAAACAAAGTGCAGAGACACGACGAGAGGAAGTATGAACCTTCCAGTGAATCTGAGAATATACTTTAAAAGCTTTCTCCCTTGAAATATATATGTGTGCGTGTATGTATAATGACCACATGCAGGCGTCTGAATAAATTGGAGCCTATGGATTGAATACATTTGAATGGTGTAAAATCATTAAAACAATGTGATCGTTAGCTCATGCATATTCATATAGGGGCGCATAACTGTAAAACTACAATGAAGGCATACATCCAGCTTTATCAGTGCTCTTACTCTTAATGCAAAGCAGGGAAGACCCACTGCATATTTAAAATTCAAGAACACTGTAGATCCATGACCAAATCAAAATCTTATCGTACTGTGTATTTCAGTATGTATTACATTTGCTATTGAGCTGAGATATCTGTAAAACTTGTGACACATATGTGGGTACAAACAGTTGTGGATTAAAGGGATAGTTCAATTTATTTATTTATTTTTTTAAGTGAGATTCTGCTAAATAGTTATAAGCACTTAAAATCAATCCTGCTGTATGACGTCTTCATACAGCACACATCAAGATTAGTTAGAAGTTACCAGATTGCCCAAAAGGAGCCAAAACCAATTAAATATTTATTGTCCAGGATCAAGTCAAGTCTCAAACATGTCATTGTGGTTTATGCAAATGCTTTTTTTCTGAAAAATTTGATCCGTTGTCACATTTGATTTGCATTGAGCAGTTATTTACAGATAAGCCAATGATTATTTACATTAGAAATGGAGTTTGATTTCCTTTGTGAAACACGTACTAAAAGGGGACATTCAAAACATTTCTGATTAATGTAACAGTCTGTTAGAAAAGTAAAGCAGTGCGGGATCAAGATGAAATAGCAGATTAACTCAGAGATATTTTATTGATCTTTATACTATGTTGCCTTTCAGTCAAATAGTTACTCTCAGGGGTTTGGGGAAAAACTTTATTTGTTCAGCTGCTAGTAAGTGTTTCATAAAAAGGGATCAGTGATAGCATACAGACTCCCGGCTCCATTTCCCATGTCAGTAAACAATTCAAACATAACAGTAGTTTACAGGTTAATGAGAAAGCATTTGCATAAACCTCCACGACGTTTTTAAGATTGAAGCTCGTTCAAGAGCTGTTTTAAGAAGTTTGCACTGGTCCTGGCCCCTCTCCAACTCTGTGGTGGCTTTTGCCTCAATGTCCATATAATCAGGATTCATATGAAATGACCACAATTAGAGAGGCATCTACTCCAAGTGAGATATTGATTCCTTATAATGTGCTAACAAAACCTTGCCGACAAAGTTCTGAATTATCCCTGTGAATTTTGTATACTATGTCAAACTATTTTTAATAGTTTTTTTTTTTTTTTTTTTCACCTGAAACTTTCTTGGCCCAGATCATCCTTCCCTCCTACTCCTATAAGGCTGCGCTTAACATACAGAGGAGGGAGTGTGAGAGTGTGTTCAAGTGTGGGTTTGACAGTCGCATCAAAAGCCCGATGGGGGGAAAATAAAATTTGTTTTACAGTTTGCCAACACAATTATGCAATTACAATATGTCACAGCATGTACACGCACTCCTCAGGCCATCAGCTAAATGTAGTTTACTGTGAGGTTTGGCATGTAAAGAGAACAGGGGAAACTGCAACTGGATGTTAAGTCAAACACATAAGTGCGGTTTGCTGATATTGATCTTGCTTGAATTGTTTCTTAAGCCTCTCCTGGCAATCACTTTACAGCCTGTGTCACACACAGATGCTCTGACACACACACACACACACACACACACACGCAAACGCGCGGAGTGGTTCATCTAAAAATGCGTGTTTTTGGTAACAGAGAAACAGGGAGAGAGGGAGGAGGAGAGAGGGAAAGGAATGCCTCTCTTCAAGCAAAAGATAAACACAAACACATTTCCAGGGCAAACAAGAACAGCCCAGGCTCAGTGCAATCTGTTGTC